TCAGCTATAGAAGCTGTCATGAAAGTAGATGATTCAGAAGACCAAATTTGACATCTTAAACACTGCGATAACCTCAAACCTCACTCTGTTACTGTTTGGTATAATAGCATTTTTCTGTGTTACTACTTTTTGCTAATTGCACTCTTGTGTAATAACTTCATTTTAGGGCACCCTCCAGAAGTTTGTGGATGATTTGTTTGAAACAATCTTCAGCACAGCTCATCGAGGAAGTGCTTTACCTCTGGCCATCAAGTACATGTTTGACTTCCTAGACGACCAAGCCCTCCAGCATGGCATCTCTGATCCAGAAGTTGTTCATACTTGGAAAAGCAATAGGTAACAACATCCATCACAAGGAAACATGAAGATTCAAACTGAAGTAGGATTTAAGTTTCTCGTGGCCATAAGTATGAAGATGTCTATCTTCTGGGTTGTAGCACTGTGTAGTCTGGTAGAAGTTTACCAACATATTAGAAGCACTTGCTGCCTCTGTCATCAAGCTGGTAGAAGTTTACCAACATTTTAGAAGCACTTGCTGCCTCTGTAATCAAGCACTCATTGCCTTGATGGTGGAGGCAACAAGTACCTCTGAAATTTCCATACCATGCCAGGCAGACTTAAACTCCGGGGAGGAACAGTGTAGCGACATACTACTTCGATACATGGATCAGTGTAAGGTGTGACAAATGGACAGTAAAGGTTAAATGTTAGATTGTTTGGTTTTGAATTTGTACATATAAACTTCCTTCTTCTCCAACTTGACTAATGTGAAGAGGAAATTCAGGCTTTATTTTAACTGACTCTTAGGATATAGAACAATTTGAAGTATGTTAGCACTTAGGTAATTGGTATTTATTTATAATTATAATTGAGGTTTTCTTACTCTATTCTTAATACCTACCTCCAAATAAAAGCCAGAATAATGCTGAGCCAGTGGAGGAATTAGCTGTCTTTGAGGAACTTTAAAATAATAGATAATACCGCTCACATAAATCAAGAATAAATCATATAAATTTTGAAATAGTTTTAAAAGCATTTGTGGAAAATGATAATTCTTATAAGAATGAAATAAGTGTTGAGTGTGGTAAAGTTATTTTATGAATTAACTTCTTTTTCAGTTTGCCTCTTCGATTCTGGGTCAACTTAATAAAGAATCCAAATTTTGTATTTGATATCCATAAGTCCAATATAGTAGATTCCTGCCTTTCCGTCGTAGCACAAACTTTCATGGATTCTTGTTCGACTTCGGATCACAGACTGGGTAAGATTTCACTGTGTAATGTGTTTCCTTTTTTGGCTTTTATTAACTTGTTTATTGTATGTAGCAGGCGCATCCAGAATTACTAATATAAACATTGGTTTATAACCAACAGGTAAGGATTCACCAAGTTCCAAGCTGCTTTATGCGAAGGACATTCCATCGTACAAAGAATGGGTGGAGAGATATTACTCAGACATCAAGATGATGCCAGCCATCTCAGACCAAGATATGAATGCCATGTTAGCTGAAGAGTCTCGGGTACGAGCTGTTTACCATGTCTTTAATTCAAGTATAAATTATAGTGCATGTGAATAATATTGTCACTTGACTTGAAGTGAGAAAAATATATGTAACTCTGTAGGACAGAGGACTGAAAAGAGTTAATATCTGCCAGTCTTGTAATCAAGCTTGTGACATCTGGTGTGCATGTAATAAACTGTATGAAAGAAACAGTATTTTTTAATTTTTAAACACCATTTGTTACCAATATAGGATTTTTGTGGGTTTGGTTAACACATGTGGTTTTGCTGCATTACATTGAAATGTTGTATCAATATTTGTTACTGTGAAATAGTTTTCCTTCAGATGATGAGATACTTTTGACAGGGGATGGACAGTATTCTTGTACTCGTGTTCATTATACAAAGATTTTACTTTATTTGTTCAAAAAGCTGATTAAGGGATGTATATTAAGCATTAATTTTCTTCATGTTTCAGTTGCACACCACTGAGTTCAACACCAACTGTGCTCTTCATGAGCTCTATACTTATGCAATGAAGTACAATGAACAATTGACTGTGACATTAGAAGAGGACGAATTCTCACAGAAGCAAAGACTGGCATACAAGTTGGAGCAAGTCCACAACATAATGGCAGCAGAATCGAATCCGTGATGGCGGTCTGCCGGACCTGAGTCGAACCCGACGTTCGAGGTCCGGTGTTAAGTTGTCGAACTTTCTGAAGAGTGCAGCAAGCTGTGCGTCTGTGTGTGTGCATGCATGTGATGTGCTTCACTGGCAGGGAGGTTGCTTGGCCATTGTCCTGAGACAGATCCATCCAAAGTGAGTGAGCAAGCCAACATAACTGGAATAACCAATGTGTGCGTGTGTGCGTGTGTTGCTTGTGTGGCAGTCTGGAAGTTGGGGAGGCCGTGAAATTTCCCCTGAACAATTTGTTCTTTGCTCAATGACTGGTCAGTTGGTCAGTACTGGAGCTGCCACGAGTGTGTGCAATTGCTCTTTGTGGGTTCCTACGGTGACGTGGAAGAGGCGGGCTAAAGAGGAAATGCTATTTGGAAATTACACTGAAGTGCCTCCGGTAGTAACAGAGTATTTGATGAAATGATAAGTGAGCCCTGGCCAAGACAGTTTCAAGCATAGTAACATTTCCAGTTGTTGGCAGGCGGGAGAGAAGTGGGAACGTGGAGCTCAATCATACTACCCACTCTGCTAAGAAAAACCATGCTGAGGAACGAGACAAAGATCTAAATGATTGCCAGTGTTGACAGTGTCAAACGGAATATACCTATATGAGATCTTGTCTGATTCATTTGTTGAAACATTTTCCCATTGCTTGGTTTTCTTCTTCGCAGTGATTCGATGCCGCTCTACTTTTGTTTCTCTTAAGGTGTATGTTGATGATTTAAATGTCTTCCATGTTCCCTTCTTGCACCAAGTTTCCACGCCGTACCAGCACGGGACGCTTGAAACGTGTATATTTGTACAGTTCTCCTCGGATCCATTCAATATCCTACTTGCTGCTCGGACTTGCCATTCAACTAGTGTAGCCGTGTGTCTGTGTAGATGTCAGTGTTTCAGTTAAAGGTGCACATGCATACAGCACACTATCTCAGTGGTACTTTGTCTGCTCTGTGTGTCGGTGTGGCGTGAGGATAATCTTAACCGGCGACTGTTTTTAAATGAGGACCAAGCAATCAATTCTCCGTATGATTCCCGACTGATTGTTGCGAGTGGTCGGATTGCTCGCAGCAACAATTTTCATCCTGTTCGATTCATGTTAACCCACATTGAGATACGTTAGCATGAATCGAATGAGACGGTCACAACTCAGGAAAATTCTGTTGTGAGTTTCCATTGAGCCACAAAAAATGAAGAGAACATTTCTTAAGACTGGTACTTGTTTGAATATAGTACATAAAGGATAGCAAATTGCCAAGGGAGGCCACCATGTTCTCTGCTATGGTGACATCATCGAAATGTTATGTATTATGTTTGATCTTTAGTAACTGTTCAATGAACTTAAATGTTTCAGCCTTTCTAAATCCTCAGAACAATGCTGGTCTCCCTTTTTTTCATTGTCACATTATTATTGTTTTCTTGTTCTACTGAATGGATATGCTCAGTGTTTTGTCACTTTAATGGAAATCAGTTTTTCATGCAGTTGTTTT